AAATACAAATCTTCCAATTTTTTTCCGAACTTCTTCAGTAATTATCAGTTTACACACTTTTCTCAATACTGCGTCAACCATGTGTAAAATGATAGAGGTATAAGCAAGCTCATCAACCTCTTCTTTTTATTCTTTTGAAAAACCAGCAGAAAAATTGCTATCAATGGCTTTTGAAATCTTTTGTTGGACTAGAATACCTCTCATTTTTTATTGCCAGATAGAAAAATCACGTTTCCATTAAAAATTTCCAAATCAAAATTGCGCGTTGTCATTTTTCAAACAAGAAACAAAAAGTCACAATTAGGCTACACAAAGCAGACTAGGTTCTCAAATATACACCGTTTTAAATTTTCAGAGTTTCGTAAGATTCACGATCTTAGATCAAGAAAATTTTCAAACGGGTAAGGTTTAGGTATTCTAGGGACTTATCAATGCAACCAGAGGGATAATTAACAAAACAATTTCATTCACAATATACCACAAACAATAATATGCTGTAATTAATAAAAAAAATAGGCAAATTTCAATCACGTAGCAAACAAAAAGCAATTAATTCCTAATTTCTAGCACAAGCAATAGTTATCCCTGCACGGTAACCCCAATCCTATTGTCATCCCACACAATGACGCGCTAGCGCTGAAATTAAAAGAGGATTAGCCAATTTACCAGAGTGGACTTATTTAAGTCCGTAACTTTTGAGAGTTGCAAATTTACTGCTTTAGGCCCCAATTTATGGCCTAAAGTAATTCAGTAAATGTGTTATGCAGTTACAGTCTCGAATCTGTATCAATCACCAAAGGGCAGAATCGTCCAATATTTTAAGCAAAACCTGAAACACTAAAGTAACAATATCAGTACGTTCAGGTGGATAAAATAAACAAACTGCTTGAAAAAAGTTGGCCGGAAAAAATCACCATCACCACCACTAGAAGCGCCCCAGTCTGTAGGGAGTGGGTTCGCCCTCAATTTTTCAATCAGGTCAATAGGTTGGCCGAAATTTTCAAAAACAGAGGCAAAAAATCGCGAGGAAGAATACTCTTTGTTGCACCAAGGAATATCGAGCTTAATCTCTAATAGATACCACAACCAACCAAAAGGAACAATCCACATAGAGCCATACTTCCAAATGGTTGCTCCAACCAATAGATAACCCACAAAGGCTAGGGGCTGAGAAGAATGTAGCCAAGGAAGTTAGACCACTAA